TGTTGGGACGTCGAGGGATGGGGCCCTGAGGGCGAGGGGCCTTAAACAGTGAAGTTGCAGCTCGGCATGCCTTGCCTACCCTCTCAGACATGCGATGACTAGATTCTTGTTCTCTTTGCTGTCCCCAGAAGTCCCGACTTTTTCCCCGGGGCCAGGTTGTCATCCCGAGTCGTCTTGTGAGGGCCCTGGGGCCCGGCGAGGGCCCCCAGACCCGAACATGTCCAGGATAGCTCCGAGCCGCGTAGGGCTTTAAAGAAAAAGGCGGCAGGCAGGTCTAGGCTTGCTTCCTCTTCCCGGTTGCTGGGCAGGGATCCCCGCATCGTCTTGCCCGAACTTGCAGTTTGTCCCGGAAGCGTTTTCATACTCGTTCCCAATACGTGTGCCGCAAGCCTTTGCGCAACTCCTTCGCAGCGCCGTCCGCCTTCCGGGCTCGCGCGAAGCTCCCACATCGTGCTTGTAGGCTTCCAAGTCATCCGTCCGAGCTTCCTTGCCAGCGTTCAACGCGCAAGCTTGCGGGCTGCTCGGATTGCTCGTCTGGCGCGCCAGACTGCGCTGCTATCCGGGCCTTGGATTGCACCGTGTGAAACGCCACCCTGTCCCGTTTCGTGCCCAATGCGCTGGAGGTCTGGGCCCACTACGGGCCCCATCCCTCGGGGCCCCGTCCCGGGAGCCGCCGAGCCTCTCCGCTGCGGCTCGATGGAGGCGCGGCCTTGGCGCGGGCTGGCGCTGCCGCTCCTCTCGGTGGCCAGCGAGGGGGGGAAGCAAGAAGGGGCGGGCCTTCTCGGAAGGCTCGTAGGTCCCCGGGCCTCCTGAGCAGTTCCCTGGGCCTCCCCCGAAGACACAGGAGACGTTTCAGAAGGCCCCCTGCAGCTTCTGAGAAGTCCCGCCGCCTTCTGAGAAGGCCCCTTCTCTCACCCTGACCTTCCAGAGTGCTAAAATGCTAAAAAAATTGCCCTCCAGACCTGTGGACCTCAAACCTCGACGGGAATTCAGATATCGAGGCCCTGGCGCTAGTTTTGAAAGCCCTCCTGGAAGGTCAGGGCACTGGCCCCCCTCGCCCGCCGCCGATCCTCCGCGTCGTGGCGCCCTCCGGCCGCCGCCGCTGGGCCGCGGCGCCCTCGGCCGCGGCAGCGGCCTCCTCGGCCGCCCTCGGCCGGGCAGGCGCGCGGGGCGCCCCCTCGCGGGGCCAGGCGCCCCCCGGCGGCCGCGCGCGGGCCGCGGTGCCGACGGCCTGCCGGGGCAGCGTCGGGGGGGGGGGGGGCTCGAGGTAGGGCGGAGCGCGCGCTCGCCTGGTGCTCGCGGCGTCTGCTGCTGCTGCTGCTGCTCCTGCTCCCCCTCCTCCTCCCTCCTCCTCCTCCTCCTCCTCCTCCTCCTCCTCCTCCTCCTCCTCCTCCCCCTCCTCCTCCCCCTCCTCCTCCTCCTCCTCTCTCTCCTCCTCCTCCTCCTCCTCCTCCTTCTCCTCCTCCTCCTCCCCTCCTCCTCCTCCTCCTCCTCCTCTGCTTCCTTCGCCTCCGCCTCCTTCGCCTCCTTCGCCTCCTCCTCCTTCTACTCCTCTTCCCTCCTCCTCCTCCTCCTCCTGCTCCTCCTCCTCCTCCCCCTCCCCCCCCTGACGCTGCCCTGGAAGGGACAGCGTCAGGGGCATCGTTTCGGGCTCGAGGTTACAGTCGTCCCGAACGGCCGCCGAAGGCCCGAGTCATGACCCGAAAACCAGGAGGCCCCGTTATAGGAGGGGGCATGGGCTCAGCGGGGGACGCATCGACCCCACTCGCCCATGGATCGCCGAAGAGGGCCCTGACAGCCTTCCCCGCAGGAGCGTCCGGAGTTGCTCTCGGGGGCCCCCCGCCGAACTATGGAGGCAGTGTCGCCGATTCCGGGCCGATGTTCAGAGATCCGACGCCTTGCTCTTTCACCGAGCATTCTCTTTGGGTGGAGGGCAAAGGGTGAAATCTGAAATGCCGTTTCGATGGATTTTCGAGGCTCGAATACGCCGAAGGAGAACCCCAAGACGGCTTGAGTTTCGAGGTGCAAGAAGCCCGCATGGATTTCACCCTGAGCCCTCCACCCTAACAAAATACCCAGTTTCAGTACGGGGCCTCTGGAAGTTCTGGCCCTTTCCCCGGGGACTGGTCTTCGATGTTGAATCGTCTTGTTGGCGTTCTTGGGGCTTCCCGTTCTGATGTCTCCAGGACGCGAGGGCCCTGGGGACGCCATCGGTGTCACCCCAACATGCTACTACTGTGTTTGCGTCGCCCCCAAAGAGGCGGCGCGCGCGCTCAGACGTCTTATCGTATAAGCTCCGTGGCGGTCGTTTTCTGGCCATGCCGTTCGGGAAACGCTGTACCGTACGATGTTTGTACTATATGCCCTGGTCGGACGCACGCCTCCAACGGGTGCACATAGTACTAGTATGTCCTTCTACGTCCCATACCAGGTGCCAGGTCGATGTCAGACACAGATCGTCTATTTCAACGAACATGTTGAAACATACGGGAAGAGGAGGGGAATATGAACATCTAGTAACGATGTAAACATATAGCATTCTGGCACGTGTGATTGTTTTCGAAAGCCTAGGATGCCCCCTCTGGTGCCTGGGATGCCAGGGCGATGTTTCCCCTCCTAAGCCACTCCCCTCCCCATCTCGGCGGCGAGCCTGGGGGGGGGGGAGTGAGAAGGGGCGGGCCTTCTCAGACGGCGCGAAAGTTCCCAGGACTTCTTAGAAGTTTGCTGAAGGCCGGAGGGCTTCTGAGAAGCCCCGCCGCCTTCTCCTTCCCCCCTCAGATCCGACGTTGCAAAGAAGTTGCAACATCGCAGAAAAGCACGACCAGACCCCCAGATCCCATCTTTCTGCGCCATTTTTCGAGCCGGATCGATCTGTGAGGGACCCGGGGCCCGAAATGGAGCGACAACGCCCGCTGAACAAAAAAATGCAGCGCCAGGATCTCAGGGTCCTTCTCCTCCCTCCTCCCTCCTCGCTCCTCCTTCTCGCTTCCCCCCCCCCCTCAGGCCTGCGCGCTGGGCGGCTGCAGGCTGGCGGGCTGCGCCCGCCGGCTGCGGCGGGCCGGTCGCAGCCGCCCCGGCTCCTCGCGCGCGGCCGGCCCAGGCTCGCGGAGCGCGGCGAGCGCGTCCAGGGCCCAGACCCCCTCGCGGCAGGCATCGCTCGACTGCACGTGGGGCCCAGATCCCCTCGAGCCATGAAGAAGGCATGGCTTGAGGTCTGTCGCGCTATTTTCGGCCTCTGGGGGCCCTCACCTGGCCTCGGGACCGCCCCAAAAACGACTCGGGATGAAAAATCGGTCCCGGGAGTGGGTCCGAACCTTTGGGGGTCGCGTCATGAAAAAAACACGACGTCGGGAGTCTGGGGAGTGACCCTTCGCCAGAGTATCCTTTGGTTTGGAGGGGGAAGAGGTACCCATACTGCTACCATGCGCCCGTTCTCCCCTTCTTCGCCCTCCTGGGAGGCCCTCATCGCCACCGTTGGATTCGCCTCGGAACCCTGGAGAGGTTTGGGGAGAAGCGGTGCCAGTACCCGCTTGTTTCCCCATTGGTGTGGGCTCATCGGGGTCGCCGCGGTCGCTGAGCGCGATGCGATAGCGGCTGCTTGCGCGCTTGGATCTGGCCACCTTTTGCGCCCCCGTGGTCCGCGCGCCAAAGGTCATTCTTGCCTAGTGTCACCTTCGCGTGTAGGCAAATCGCAGGCGATTTCTCGCCCCCCACCCCCGACCTTCCAAGAAAACGACAAGCCGCTCAGACGAGGGGGAAAGTCTAGAGCCTAGGGGAGATACTCCCACAGGAGGCCTAGGCCTCCCAGATGGGGTCGGAGCATATTGGGTCGGAGGATCGCGCCGCATTGACGATGCATCGGCGATGCAGCTCGATGTGGAGCCCGATTTTCTCCACGCCGATGCACCGCCGACGATGTATCGGCGCCCCTCGCGTCATTCCTCGCAGGCGATTTCTCGCCCCCATCCTTCGGATTTGTCCCAACAAATCACGTCGCTCAGAGAAAAGGGGGAAAGCCGGGGATACACCTCCAGGGGCTAGTTATTCGGACGCACCCCGATCGAGGAGGGGCAGCCCCTGTCGTATATTGGCGAGTTGGGCCAGCAATTTCTGGTCCAGTCGAAAACCGCGCACAGTCGGGGATTGGGGTCGCCATGCCCATCGTTACATGGCCCAGACCCCCTCGCGTCATTCGGAGGAGGAAGAGGTACATACCGCTGCGCTGGCCTCTTTTTTTCGCCTTTTTGGGCCTCCTGGGGGGGCCCTCGTCGGACGCCCCCCCCCCTCTGCCCCCCCCCCCCTCTTGGAGGCCCCCCTCTTGGCCGCCCCCGAAAACCTGCAGCTCCAGGATCTCCGGGCAGCGTGTCGCCGCGGCCGCCGCCGCGGCACGCTCGGCCGCGGCTGCCGAGACCGTGTATCGGCGGCAGGCGAGCGCGGCCGAGGAGGCCTCGGGCCGCGGGGCCGCCCTGTGGGGTGTGGGCGCGGGCCCGCGCCCGCGAGGGGCGGGTGCCCCACCCGGGGCGCGCGGCGTGAAGTCGGGCATGTCCTAAGTCCGCCTCCTCCTCCTCCTCCTCCTCCTCCTCCTCCTGCTCCTCCTCCTCCTCCTCCTCCTCCTCCTCCTCCTCATTCGGAGGAGGAGAAGTAGGAGGAGGAGGAGGAGGAGAAGGAGGAGAAGGAGGGGAGGGGCGGGTGCCCCACCCGGGGCATGTCCCTCCACAGGAGGAACACTCACAAGAGAGCTACGCAAACATGCAGTATCCTGACCTTCCAGAGAGTGCTAAAACAAATCGCCCTCCAGACTTATAGACCTATCTGGACTGCCTTAAACATCGGCAGGAATTTAGATGTCGAGGTCCTGGTGCTATTTTTTGGCCCTCCTGGAAGGTCAGGGTAGGACTGATGCTTCTACTATGTTTGGAGTATTTGTTGGGAGAGTTCTCAACTTGTGGCCCAAAACATATGCCTGTGAGAGGACATGCCCGACTGAACGCTCGGCGGAGGCGACGCGGGCCACGCCCGCGTGTCGCTGGTGAGTGCCGAGCCCCTGATCCTGGTCGTCGACGGGCTGTGCAGCCCTCGGCTTGTGGCGGAGCTGAGGGGCGAGCTCGGCCGCGGCGGGGGCGGGGGGCTGGAGCAGACCGGTGCTTACGTGGACGACATGTTCGAGGTGGGGCGGCGAGTTCCATATACGCGCGCGCCGCCCTGGACAGGCCCATCCTATTGGGATCCCTGCCGAGCCCTGTCAGAATCCGACTGGGATCCGATTCGGGTCTTGCTGGGGTCATGTTGCAACCCTCTTGGGCTCGGGTTGGAATCCGATTGGGGTCTTGTTGGAAGCCTATCCGGGTCTTGGTGGGATCCCGCCTTGAGGGATCTGGGCGCGGGATATCATTTCCAGGGGCGAGATATGCTATAGTCAGGGGTGGACAGAACCCCCACCCCCACACGTCTATTGGTGAGTTGTCCGCTCTCGGTTCTCAAGAGGGCGCCGCGGCCGTCGTTTTCCAGGTTGCGCCCGCCAGGTTGGGGCCCGAGGTCGTTTTCACTGAACCACGTCCGACTAAAGGGGACTCTGTCCATCCCCGATATAGCAGGCCAGCCAGAGATGGGGGATCTGTGGTCCTTACCCCCCTGGGGGACCCGTCGATTTCGACACCCCTCTGAAGAGATCGTCGGTGCGATGGGTTCCCCCCGGGGGGTAAGGACCACAGCTCCCCCAGTTGTGGCTGGCCGGTACAGCTTCTCCGAACGGGGCGGGGCCGATGCTCGCTCCTCGGGGCTGTGCCTCCGCGCCCAAGCCGAGGGCCTGGGCGCCGCCGCTCCTGGGCCCGGGGCGGGCCTATGGCCAGGGGCGGCGAGGTCGGTACACAGTGTGCATGTCTGATTCTTCGGAAGTTCTTTGATTTCTTTGGGGGGGGGCCAAGATCCTTTCACTCCTGATTCTTCGAGAGTTCTTTGACTTTTTGGGGGGGCCACAAGACCCTCTCATCCCTGATTCCTCTACCCTGGGCCTCTTCCTGGCCACTGGGGGGCCAGGAACAATCTCCTCCTCCTCCTCCTGCTCCTCCTCCTCCTCCTGCTCCTCCTCCTCCTCCTCCTCCTCCTCCTCCTCCTCCGCACTTAGAAAGGAGCACAAACGAGGAGTGAGCGGCGTGTGCAGACCTCGCCGCCCCTGCCAGGAGGAGCGCGAGTTGCGGGAGGACGCCCTCTTCCGCTCCTGCGTGTCGCTCAGTGGGGCCGCCGTCCCGGGCCAGTACGCCCAGGACCCAGGAGGGAACAAAAAACGCACACAGACACAATGAATCGCCGACTCCCCAGCAACTATGGAAAAAATATGGGAAGTGTGGGGGGGGGAAGAGAAAAACACAGACAATATCGGAAAATGTGGGGAATCCTGTTCTTTTGTGTCTATTTCTTTGTGTGTCCCAGGGGCCCCTTCCAGGACCCGCTCCGGTCCGTCCTCTGGGTGGCGCGCACGCAGCGCGAGAGGCTGCCGCCCGGCTCCGTGAGGCAGATCCAGCAGGCCTCGGGGGCCCCGAAGCCCCGGGCTCTCGCCCAGCCAGGGCCCCCTCGCCGTGTGGGGGCCTCGGGCCCCCCGCGCCCGCGTCTCCCCTCGCCTCCGCTGCTTCTCCCGCCATGTCCTCCCTGCCCGCCGCTTCTGGCCTTCGAGCTCCTCTCCTCGGCCAGGGGCTTCCAACAGAGCCCACTGGGCCTCGTTGCTTCTGCGCGTCTCGTTTCGACGGCCCGTCGTGGTGCAGATCCCTCAGCGTCGCGGACGCACGTTTGCGAGGTTAGTGCTGCATGCACGCCCTTGGCAGGCCAAGCTTATCGCCAGCTCGTCGCATCCGCTCACGCTTGTGCTACGTCTCCACTTCTGCAGAGTGGAACAGACTTCACACACGAGGACTTCGTCAGACCCAGCTGGAGAGAAACAAGAATGCAGAATGCCGCATCCGCTCACGCTTGTGCTACGTCTCCACTTCTGCAGGGTGGAACAGACTTTGCACACCAGGACTTCGCCAGACCCAGCTGGAGAGAAACAGTAATGCAGAATGCCGGCCCACGGCCGCAGTTTTCTCGGGCGCGCCACCGTCTTGGCTTATCACACCGCCCACGTCTCACGGGGCCCTTGCAGGCCGTCGCACGGCGCGCCTGGACGACGCAGTGGAACCCAGAGGACGTCGCCAGGAGCGGCTTCAGGAAGGCCGCCTCGCGCTGGAGGGTCCCCAGCGGGGTCCTCAGGCGACTGGCGCCCCTGGTCGTGCAGATCCTGGGCACTGGCGTGGAGGGCATCCCCGGGAGCCAGGAGCTCCCGGCCTCGCCGCGGAGCGACGTGAAGTGGATCCTGCGGGACTCCACCGTTGTGAGGTACCGCCAGGGCGAGTCGCAGGTTCCGCACCTCGACACCTGCGACCTGACCCTGCTGGTCTTCCTGAGCAGGGCGGGCGGCTGCACCGCCTTCCCGAACCTGCGGCAGGTCGTGCCGCCGGAGGAGGGCCGCGTGCTGGTCTTCTTCAGCACGACCCCGGAGGCCACCCGGTTCGGAGGCTCGGGTCGCGGGCGATTTTTCTCCCCCAATCCCCGAGCTTCGCCCGAGAAGTTTGGCCACTCAGAAAAATGGGAAAACCCTGGGATACGCCCCAAGAGGGCTATTCGGACGCACCCGCATCGAGGATGGGCACCCCCCCGTCGTATATCCCAGGGTTGGGCCGCAAGTTTATGGTCCATTCGGAAACCCCACGAAGCCTGGGATAGGGGTCGGCATATCCTGTGTCATCGGGGGCGGGTGGTGATCGGGGGTGTCCTGAAAGGGGGGGTGAAGAAAAGGGCCCCTTTTGGAGCCAGCAGGGGCCCAAGGGGGCCCGAAAGGGCTCCTGTGGTGCGGGACGGGAAAATGACCACAGCCACTGCTTCTTGTCTGCGCCGCCTTCCAGCCGGGCGAAAAAGAAGCAGTGGTTGTGGTCATTTCCCTGGTGCCAAGCTCAACGAAAATGACCACAGCCACTGCTTTGTTTCTGCGGGCTGGAAGGCGGCAACAAAAGAAAAGCAGTGGCTGTGGTCGTTTTCACGCCACGTATTTGTGGCCTTTTTCTTCACCCGCCATATTTGGGTCACCCCGATATCAGCGCCCGCCCGAGAGGCTTCGCTGGCGCGGCTTACGGCCGGCCCAACGACGCCACGATGCACTACGGCAGCCTGGGCCAGCTGGGCGACGGCGAGGATCGGCCACGGCGTGAGAGTCACCCTGCGCTGGAGCGGCCTCTGTTGCGGACCCACGGGCGCCCCCCCAGCAATGGCGGGCGCGCGCTTGGATTTGGCCCTCCCGCGGCTCCCTAAAGACGCGCACCGAAGACAATTCCTGCCTCGGGTTAAGTCGGGCGTGTCCTTCTACAGGAGGAAACTTCAGAAATAGTCAAACATTAGTATGGGGACGACTGTTCTACCATGTTTGCTTTTGTTGAACATCATTGTTCGTCCAAAATCCGCTCATAGGAGGACGCGCCCGACCTAAGCCTAGGGCCACTCCTGCGTGTCGCCGAGAGGAAAAGCTGGTGGTGCAGCTGCTGCTGAGCGTGGAGGACCTCGGCGGCTCCGGCGCGGAGGCCGGCTGGAAGGGCGTGCTGGGCGGCCCGCTGTTCCACTGCCGGAGGACCAAAAGACGGCGTCCGCAGAGCCTTTCGGAGGTCACCGCGGATTCCTCGGCTCGGCGCTGGACCTCGCCTTCTCCCTTCCTGCATTCACCGAGAACAAAGGAACCCTTAACCCTAAGAGCACGATGAAGACGTGGCCTCACTGGGGTCCCCGTCTCTGCATTCGGGATAAAACATCTGGGCGGTTTGGTTCGATACCTCTGCAGGAAAGATTCCCTATCCCTAATGTTATTGGCCCTCCTAACTTGGGTCCCCTCCCAGAGGGTTAGGGGTCTTTTTTTGGTTAATATTTTTTCCCTGCGCACGGGCGCGCTGCGGGGGCCGGCGCCGGAGGCGCAGCTCAAGGGAGGGCGGAGAGGGGTGCGTCGCGCCGACCCCAGAAATCCGCGCGGACCTCCGGAAGTTCATGGGTGTGTTGTCCTGCCCAGTCCGCCTCTTACTGGGATCACTGGTCTAGCGCACGTTCCCACACTATGTGGTTGACTTGATGCGCTGTCAGCGCGACCTGTGGCTGCGCTTCCCGCGATTACGACCCACTGCGGCGCTGGAAGTACAGTGTATTTCGTCTTCCCCAGACATCTGGCTATGCTTCTGTTGGTCGTGCAATCCGCGGCTTCACAGGTCTGGACCCGCTCCCCACGGGTCGTATCTCGTCCCGGATCCATGTCTGACGGCCCCAGGATTCGGTGTCCGAAATCGACCAACAATTTTCCAAAAACAAGCTCCGAGATCCCAGGTATGATTTGGTTCAAAAACGGGGTCCCCAGACCAGTTGTAAAATACTTGTTGGTTGTCCCTGTCCCAGGGCTCGGCGAGGGTCCACATGTGCCGAAAACGGATGATAAGTTCCTTCCTGATGTGTTGAATGCTGTGGGGAAATCGTCAGGGACTGCCTTTAAGGCTTCAGACCCGGGAGGAGCGCTTCTCTGATGAGGACCCATTGTTGTTCCGCCGGCTTCCACACCCTACAGGGCCGTTTTTAATACATGCTCCGCGTGCGGATCATGTATTACAAATGCAGGGATTTAGTGCTAAAGACAACGGTGAGTTCATGCATGAATTTATGCATAAACTAGTCATGTATTTAAGATCCTATATTTTAAAAATCCGATGTGTTAAAAACTGCCCTGTACCCACAGGGTTTTACCCCACGTGTTCACCGTGCGTCGGAGTTCTAGGGTGCGTGACTGCTCTCGTCTCCCGCCCTGCTGTCGTCCACTGAGAAGGCCAGGCGGGGGTCCAAGAGACACACCGAAAGGCAATCTCGACGGGGGTCTGCCTTTCTAGCCGAGGCCCCGCTTGCCCGGTGGCAAAAGGCCGCCTCGAGAGAGAGGCGCCCTCCTCCTCCTCCTCCTGCTCCTCCTCGTCCACGACGACCCCCACGCCGACGAAGTCGCGAACTGATTTCTGTTGAGACTTCACAAGGATTTAGTTTTAGGATTTTGAAAAAAAGTTCAATGCCATCCCCAAGTCGCCCGTACTTGCACAGTGCCACTTCTACAGTAATTTCTTGAGCATGCCTGCGACGATGCAGATTCGCTGAAGACGTGCGATCATCTGCTAAGATGAGATTGGCCAGCAATGGCTTGAAGATCACCTTCGGCTGACTCCATCTCCCCATCCCCCCAAAGGCTTGAAAAGGCTGAGGACCTCCGCCTTGTCATTTGCGTGTGCCGGGGAGGCAAGAACGATTTGACACCGCTGCTCCCCGGATCTCTTCTGGGACGCGTTCTGATCACTGGGGCAGATGCAGACATGGCCACGAGGGATGGGTAGTGGCATCGTGTAGATACTTCTCTCGCGCATGGACCATGGAATCGAGAGCTGCAAGCGCGCATCCAGCAGTGGCTGCGCGGTCTTTGTGGCACCGCTGCAGGCGTGCTCCATGCGAGGGTGCGGATCGAGACGGATCTTCCCAAAGGTGTGCCGCATCGTTTCAAGAGAGGCCGGTGCCTTCGATGCCACTGGTGGTTTGTGTCAGCTCATCAGAGGCGATGGGGCGCGGCGCCATGGGTCCGTGGGCTTTCTCTGGGCGCAGCGAAGAACCTCAGCCACAGTTGAGTGGATTTTTCTGGAGGGCGACCCCTCAGGGCAGAACCACCAACCTCGGCATGAGCCCTTTGGTTGTGTTTCTGGCCGATGTGGCCGTCTGGTCACGCCCGCATCGGCCACAACCAGTACTAAGCGGGTTCCTGTGCTCCGACGACTGTTGGCATGCGCAAGACATCCCGCCGCCTCTGGCGCGCCCCGAGCGCGGGAGGAGGGCCCAGCGCGGGTTCCGGCAATCCGCGCGGCCCTCCGAAAGCTCAAGTTGATGCCATCTTGTGTTCTTCTCTGTGACCCATCCCGGAGACCCTGAGCCCCAAAAGTGTTGTCATCTCCTGGGAGGTCGGCTCTTGCTTCCGCCCAGCTTCCTCCCGCTTCCGCCGGCGGAGCCGCCGCAGTTATTGCCTCCGCCGACCGTCCGGCCGCCTCCCACCGCGGAAGAGATGGCAACTCCTTCTGCCCTCGAAGCCCAGACCCCGACGTCATGATTTGTGCATGACGCGACCCCCACAGAGGTCCAGACCCATCCCCCGGGATCGGTTTTTATTTCGAGTCGTTTTTCGACGATCCCGAGGCCCGGTGAGGGCCCCCAGGAGCCGAAAGTAGCGACACATTTTTCGTCGTTGTTTTGTTCACGACTCGAAGGGTCTGGTTTTTGGAAGGCACCCGGGCGCCAAAAAAAGGGTGTCGTCTGCGCCGACATCGGCGCGGAAGCTGCCCGCGTAAGTTCGCGCGTAAGCACCCTCGTCTCCAATGAGCATGCCGCGCTGGCGGCCCGCGTAGACCGCGGCGTAAGGTCGCTATGCCATTTCGCGTCAAACTCGACCACACGTGAGAGTGACCTTTCGCCGGAGTGACCTTGAGTGCGGGCCCAGTGGGGTCCCCCGATCGCCGAACGCGATGCGGTAGGAGCGTCTTGCGCACTTGCGCTTGGCTCCGCCGCGGCCCCCAACAAAACCGCGCACCAGAGGTCACTCTTACCCAGGGTCACCTCCTGCGTGCAGTCGAACGAGCCCTTTTGGATCGTCGCTCCTGTTTGGGACGCGCCGCGTCCCCGCCGTCTTGCTGGTCCTCCCCCGGCGCGCGGTACAGCTCCAGCTGGGCGCCCCCCGCGGCGGCGCACCGGGAGGCCTTTGGCGCGCGGCGCGGGGCGCGCGGCGCCCTGGCGCTCTGCTCCGAGCGCTGCGCCTCGGCGTGCGAGGGCCCGGCGCTGGACCTGGCCGCGGGCCCCGGGGGCCAGAAGTTCTGCGTCTGGTGCTGGAGCCCCGGAGGAGGCAAAAGGGGGCCCCTACCCCGACCTTCAGGAGGGCTAAAAAATAGCACCAGGACCTCGATATGTTAATTCCTGTTTTAGGCAGCCCAGATTATCTTAATTCCTGTCGAGGTTTTAGGGAGCCCAGATAGGTCTATTCGTCTGGAGGGCTATTTGTTAGCACTCTGGAAGGTCAGGGTACACGCCCAGGCCCCCTCGCGCGGTGGGAACAAAAATCACGGCGGGAGGTGTTCCGCTCTGCTCGGCCTCTGGGGTCCCTCCCCGGGCCTCGGTGCCGCCAAAAAACGGTGCAGGAGGAAGAAGCAGTGCCGGGGGATGGGTCCGGACCTCTGGGGGTCGCGTCATGCATGACGTCGGGGGGGGACCTATGCCGCTACCCTGCCTTCGTTCTCGCCTTTTGTGGGACCCACCCTGAGATCCTGGAGATGCAATGTTTGCACAAAGGGCGTTTGCACTCGATTTCGGGCCCCAGGACCCTCACAGATGGACCCCAGGCCCGAAAAGTGACGTAGGAAGATGGGGTCGGGGGGCTCCAGTCGTGATATTTTGCGGTGTTGCAATTTTTCGCAATGTCGGATCTCAGGGCATACCGCTCGCCTTCCTCTTTCGCGCCTGTTTGGGGGGCCTCCTGGGAGGCCTTCGTCGCCACCACCGGGTTCGCCTCCAAATTGTACTCAGCAGGCACCCAGGGAGAGGTCTGGGGAGTAGCAGCATGGGTACTTCTTGGTTTTCCCAGGAGCGTCGGAGGAGGAGGAGGAGGCAGTGTTTTTGATGTTCGTTCATGGGAGCCTTCTTGTCGGCGACATTGAAACTACAGGCATCGGACAAAAATAGCAATCACTCATGCCACATTCATCTGTCAACTCCTCCCCCTCCCCCCAATGTTCAAAGTTTGCGGTGGGTCTGATGAATTGCACCTCGACCGCAGTCTCCCCCGTGCGTGCCAACTTTGAGTTTGGGGGGAGGGGTGGTGTTCAGTAATTGTTTCCCTCTACCGCAGCTCTACCTGCATTTGAGCAGCATTTGGCTCTTCCTCCTGCCCCTCCTCGCCCCTCCTGTTTCTCCTCCCCCTCCTCGTTCATCTCATCTCCCGTGTAAAGGTGCGAATCTAGTCCACGTTCGGCCCCATATGCATTCCAAACCTGGTCCAAGTCAGGCCCAAGCCGGACAGCGCAAGGGGCCAAGTAAGTAGGATCCCATGGAACGGACACCAGAGCCTCTTCGACTCTGGCAAGTTTGCTTGCGTCGCACTTCGCCCCCACCCCCCCCTCCACCTTCTCAAGCACCGCTGGCCTGATGACTCGTGCAAGCGAGTCCCGATCTGCGTGAAGGCCATCGGGTGTCGACACGCCCTCCTCCCACTCCATGCAACTAAACTGGCCGCGGGCCCAGGGCAAGACGTTCTGCAACTGGCGCTGGATCATCGGAAGAGGAA